CGCGCGTGTCCCCCCGCCGTCTGCCTCGTCCGTCCGTCGCGCCTCGGCCTCTCTGTTCCGCCCTTCCCGGGCCGGCGGCTCCGCGCGGCGTTTCGGGAGCGGTCTGCTTTCACAGAGGACGTCGAGGGAGCTCCCGGCCTCGTGGCTTGGGAGCCGTGAATCGCCAAGCGGGCCGCGTCGCGCCGAAGCTTTTAGCTTTTTCCGACTTCTCGAGCGGGCCTGCGGGGTCTTTTTCTCTCGCAGTGAGCTTAATAGTTGGTTTGGCAGCTCTAGGGAAGACCTAGGCTGTAATTTCCTGCTGTTGAAGCCACTCAGCGAGGCAGATAGACCAGTCGGGACTTCCGGGTGCCACCAAGGTGTGAGTTTCTGCAACCTGTGACGCCAAGCGCCTCTTTTTAATAACAACTTCCACCTTGTTTTGGACTCTGCTTCCACAGGGTCTTTTTATTTTTCCCTTTAACGTTTAAGCTTCGAGGCGTTCTGTCCGTGCCCTTTGTAGAAATTCAGCTCCAAAGGGCAGCAACAAAGCCGTCCGTTCTCAAACACCGCCGACATAGCAAACCTTCCCCCAAGGTTTAAACTCCCCAAGGGCGGATACCGAAAATCCGCGAGCTTGCAACTCTGGCGAAACTGCTGGAGGAGAGGAGAGCTTACGTATGGTGTTTGTTCGCGCGCTTTGAGGCTGCTAGCTTTAGCTGGACAGCTATTGCGGCACAACGGAAACCCCGCGCGTTTTAGCGAAGCGTGGTGTCCTCTGTTGAAACGGGTACCCTTCTTGGTGTTTTGTTTTGTTCTTTTAAACCAGGAGGAGCTCTGAGCACCTTGGACTTCTTTCTTTTCCCACCTCTGCGTGCCTTCTCCTTGCATAAAAGCGCCAGATTTATGTGCCTCTTTTCCTGCTAGGCGCAAGCTGTTCAGCGGTGCCCTGCTGCAGCAGTACACCTGCCCACTTTCCTTATTAACTCGTATTTTCCTCTCCTGTAGCTGTTTTACCTTCGAAGCTCGGTGGGCCGGGGCGAACGCTGCCATGCCGGCTTTGCAGGTGGGAAGAAAGAGAGGCTGCGCGCAAATACGAGCCCTTTTGGCAGGGGTGGGAGTAGAGGTTTTGTTTTGCGCTATCGGTCCCCCTGCTCGGCCTCGTTTGGGCGGAAATACTCCTGTTTGAAGGGGGTCTCTCCTCGCCAGCCCGGTGTCGCCGTGGTACCGCTGCTCACGCTGTCTGGGGACTGCAGCAGGAGCTCTGCGAGCGTCCGATGAGCTCCCGGAGGAGCTTTCTGCTTCAGTTCCGCCTCTTTTTGTTTCTCTTCACGGAAGAGTTTGTAAATAGCTTTAGCCGTGACCGAGGTTATGTAATAGTTCTGAGCTGGCAGCTCGGAATACGCTCCGCTTCCTTTGGGGTCACCGTCTGTTAAAAACTATCTTAGGTGGCCCACGAATTGCCCGTGGGCTGTCCGCTTTCGCACGCGACTGCCTGACGCTGAGCGGCTCCGGCTCACGGCGTTTCCTGCGGGTCAGGAGGGCTGCCGTCGTCGAGCAGGACTCGGCGCTGGCTGAGGGTTTTTCAACAC